ATGATCTAACCATGATAGGGATAATGTTCAATTGCCATTGCTCCATCTGGAAATTATGACTGTCCTGAATCAGACCTGTGATTATCTGAGATACGTCCATGGCCATGAACTTTTGTGCAGCTTCTGAGGTCGAATCCAGAAATGGCAGACTGAAGTCTTCCAGAACTGTATACACAGGCAATGATCTCATGTCATCCTATGAGCCCAAATTCAGAAACAAGGTCTCACAATCAGAAACTTGGGAAGCAAGATCTTTCAAGGCCAATGAAGATGCCTTCCTCTGTAAGGACCTTTCCTCTAGGCTGTGGCTCTCATAGCATCCCATGCCCATTATCCCTGCAATGTGTTATCCTGCCCCATTTCCTCCATTTTGAAAAGGACAACTTTCTGAGTCAACTAAAATGTATGCTGTATCTTGCCAATTCAGATTATACTTTGAAATTCTGGACAGAATACTCTATAATTAGCTTTTCCTTATAAAAAAAAGGCACTGCTATGGACTGGAATTTCCTCCTTTTGATTCTAGCCACAAAACGAAGAGTTCTTCTTAATCCAAATTTAGCTTTTTAAATATAACTAGCTCATTAATACAAATATTAGCTATGAACAGTAAGAATTTTCTTCTGCTAATATTGCCACTTTCTGTATTTTACTTTTAATGTCCATCAATTACCAAAAAATATCACCACCTTCATTAAAATAATGATCATTAGTTGGTCTCCCTTTTCTTAACTAAATCACATTTTCCTCTAAGCTATTAGCAATATACTGTATACCAATTCCATCATGACTTCTAACAGTTAGATCAATATCTGTAAATTAGGTGTCACTCAGAATTAATTGATATGCTAGTAGAAAGCAAGTTGGAGTGCATAAATGAAGTAATATGATAAAAATATGCTTATAGGAAGCTTTAATACTGCAATATTGTATTCTGAAGTTATTGGACTGTAGAAAATACAAAACCACAACTGTCCAGTTGTGACCAATTCAAGGAGATGGCGGTCATCTCAGATTCTCAGTGGAGGGAGCCTGCGTTGTTTGAGATGTTTCCATCATGCAGCCAGCATGAAAATACGGAACATAGTAATCTTTCCCACCAAAGCAATACCTATTTATCTACCTGCATTTGCATGCCTTCAAACTGCTAGGATGGCAGTAGCTGGTGCAAGTAAATGGAGTTCATCTCATGATACTTGAGTGTCAAATCTGGACAGTTGGCTTTCCAGCTAACCAGCTCAAGTGTCTTAACCGATAGGCCATTGCGCCATCTGCCTTTGTTTTACAAAAATAAAAACCTACAGAATCATAGCAATGCTTTCTTTCTGATAAATTATGCATTCAAATGGTGATGTAATTGTTTGTTTCTGAACAAATACTGAATAGTTACTGAATAGGTCTCTCTGTAGTTCATGAAGAATTTAACAGTGACCAAAAGAAAGATGGTGGAAGGGGCTTCCCCAATTTAATAAAGGTTCAGGAATGAATAACCATATGCTATAATTGTAATTTAGAAATTTCCTTGAAAAAACGTATTGAATTTAAATGGCATTTATGGAAGATGTAGTTTAACTCAGGGGAAAATCCCAGAGAATGATAGTTCACAATTTCTTCATTGTCAAATAAAACCAATGTCTATGATCAAACAGAGTCTAATAATACTTGTCTTTTCACTTCTATCTTCAATGAGCTAGCTTGTAGTTCTTTAATGTGAGTGCTTCTTCCTTATAATGATCCTTTAACAAGTCACTGACTTCCACCTTAACTTCTAACTTACCTATAAGGATTGGCAGGTAACACGGAACCTGTTATAAGTGCTTTTCTTCACTTGAAAGGCGCTCCAATATTGACCATCTCTTAGGATGGTTGCACCACAATGCAAGAAAGAAATATGACATTAAATGTCTCAATAACCTTGCACAAAATTATTGGCACTCCAGGCCCTGTTCATATTTCACATTATGGTCACCACTCAACCTCCCAAGACTTCCTGTTGGGGATAATATATTATCTGAAGAAGTGAACAATATTTCACATGGGGTTTAGAAGGTTAGATTCCCCTTGTGTTCAGATTGGAAGCTTCCTCTTCACAGGCAGAGGTGGCGAGTGCTTTCTTTTAAACATTCATATTGATCACAATTAGTACTTTCAAATGCAATGACTTGTTATAATGAGGCACTTCCCACTGGCAGAGTAACCTATAAAATGTATATCTGTAATGGAAACATGAACATTTGCACATTTTTGTCATTAATAGTACATTGTTATTTCTGATTAATGTTGTAGAAACAACATACTGATATCTTATTTTACTTTAAAGCATGAACGAAGTGTTCTAGCTTATCCATGCATTACTGACTGGTTGGTTTTCCTCAAACTCCTATTTTGCAAGCAGTAGTCAACATGAGTTACACTCCCTTAATATTATTAGCAATCCATACTTTGAGAACAAGAGGTTTATTCTGTTTAAAGAGTTCTTATTTCAATCCGTGCATTTGTGTTCTCTTCCAGCATACTGATTTACTCATAAGCCTTTCATTAATAGGTATCTTTTCACCATGCCATCAAACGGAGAAGGTCATCTCTAAATATCTAGTTATGATCCAATTAAGAAATGTAAAGACTAGTTGACTTTAATCTGTCATGCTAACCCATAATTCTCTTTAGTTACACATTTTCAAACTGTAGGAATATGTGCCTTGTAATTTAGAGTTATATTTTGTTATGGTTTTTTAACTCATGAAACTGTCTTGATTAGAACATTTAATAATTTCATGCATTTGATAGAACATGTACCCTCCCCAATCAAACATGTCACTAAATATTTGATTTAGCCAGTTTGGTATTTAAAAAAATCTTTAATATTGCATGATAAAGTTTCGCCTTAAGAAAGGAACTCTTCCACTCATTGCTGGCTTTTTTGAAAGAACATGGCCTTCAATTAGTATTATCAGAGAACTATTGTTTTAAAAGGTGGGTGGGGGAGGAAACAAAGAACTTCTGGTCTAAATAGTGTTCCAAGGTTAAAGGAAAGGGAGACAACCTTAAAAACACACCTGGCACTGATATATATCTGTTGAGTGTCCTTGAAAAGGCATTTATGATGTTTCTCCCAGAGTGGGATGTTTTTCCTTCAAAATTACTTTGTGTTTTGAAATTTTTGTAAAATAATACCTAAAAATATAATTCATTAACAAATAAGAACTGTATGTTTAAAAAAAGGGGGGTTTCCATACATACCTATATGAGTTTGTGACATAACATCAGCTAGCCTATGTGCAGCCCCACTGCCACCACTTTGGGTTGAGGATGAAGAAGTGGTAGAGGTGGTTGAACCATGGATGGCTTGGCTGATCCAATGCTCCATATTTATACTCCCTTGGCTTGAGGTTGGTGTTCCCTGGGAATCGCCCTGCACGGAACCTTCATCTTCAGAGCCAGAGGATGTATCTAGCATGGTAGACAAATGCATGACTATTTTTATGTTGCAGTATTCAGACACTGACCCAAAGCCAAAGAGTTCAGTTCAAATTGCAGTGGTGTCCAAGAAATTTGCAAAGCAATTCAGGCACCATTTTCTGTTGAGCTAGGGTTAAAGTAGTTGGCATAAGTTCAAATATACTGATGTAGCCATGCAACAGAACCGAGTCATTACAATAATTTTCTCCAATCTGGTGTTCTCTAGATATCTTGATTTAGAAGTTATATCAAAAGCAGGTAATGTTGTTTGTACTATTCACAATTTAATCCGAATCATTGCTTTACTCTAAAAGCATTTCCATTCCCAAAGTAGCAATTCTCTAACATTAGTAACAGCATGCAATAAACACCAGATGCTATAAAAGCTACAGCACAAGAATATCTAGTTTAGCCACAGTGGGAACTCAAAATCTTGAACTAAATGCACTTTGTTTAATATTGATTCTTACTTTACATATTCATCCACACCTATTTACTGTTACAAGTGCTCAAATGACCAATCATAACATCCTTAATACAGGTCCTTTACCTGGAGGGGTATAGGCATCCATTGATGTTTGCACCACCAGTGAACGTCTCTTGGATGGCATAGGTACTGCCATTTTCCGTTCTTTATGTTTTGCCAGCGCTGCTTGGACTGCTTCTGTATGGACATCTAGAATCAAAAATCTAAATATCAGCTTGGAACTCCAACAAGAGGTCACAAACACAGGTAGTTTCTAGGAGAGAATTAATGTTGTAAATTCCTTAGACACACGGAATCAGTTCTGTCGAAAGTTTCCTGGTGAAAAAGCAGCAAACTATCCTCTCCAGTCAAGCCAAGCACAATTCTACATTATTCTAGAAGAACAAAAGCTGAAGTCCAAAATACAATGACTTGAAAATACATTCCATTAGTAACAATAGGAAAAAAAATAGTTATTTTAGGGCAACCATTTCCGCAGGATCTGCATTTGGATTATTCCAGCTAATTAAAATCTTTTTTAGTCTTGATACAATTTGCTGTTTGGGATAGTCTCTGGGTTGCTTTTAATTCTTAATACTTTAAGACAATCTATATTAGCATATAACTAAACAAATGATGAGGAAAGTCAACATGGCAGAGCACAGAAATAATTTCAATATTGTAGGTTCATTTAAAGAACATTATTATGTAGCTTTTTCTTTTGATGTTTTCCAGATGTATAGTTCAGAGGTGGGCTATAAAACAATTCCAATGATCCCCATCCGACTAAGCAGCATTGTTTAAACGACTATTGTTTTCAAAAACTTTGAGACTGTATATAGTTTAGACAACTTTTTTTTAATGAAAGTTCTATCAAGATTTATTATAGCATAAAGTACAATGAAGATTTTAAAAAAGAAAAGTAAAAAATGTGCTGACTTCTGACTCTTTCCAAAACAGTAAAATTCTAATACATTTATAACGTCAACTTTCTGCATTACCTATAATTATTAAAAGACACACAAGACACTAACTACACAATTATTAAGCTTCAAACTAAATTCTAAGTTTTTTTATTTCAAGTTTAAAAAACAGAAGCAATATCTCAATAGATACAAGATCAAATAAAATATCTTTGTTAAAAATAGTTTACATTGCAATCTTAACTAAATTTATTTTTCTCCTGTTGTGGAAAATGATAATATATTTCTATTTACACTGATTAATCTTTCTAAATATCATCATCATTTAATAAAAATCATAGTCTTTCAAATACTTTAACCTTAAAGAGAAAACTCTGTTATATTCATTTTAAGATTCTAGACATTTCTTCAAAAAATTTATCTTTATAATCAAGGCCAATTAATTATAACAACATTTTCAACTTCCNCTACTGAATATTCCAAAACTTCATTTGAATTGTTTTTTCGTTAGAACAGGCAAGCAGATGAAGAGAATATAGAGAAATTACATTTCAAAATTAATACAGCTTAGTTTTGGGCGCACAAATACAAATTCAAAAAGCTTTGTCTATTTTTTTAAATGTGCTTTTTCATCTTTATCACTGATTATAAAGGAACAACTACCGTAAATAAAGATATTTTACTAGAAACAACCTCTGGTGAAATCAGCGAGGCGTAATTCTGAATACCTTCCTTTTCTTTATTTTTATATATCTCTTTTATGTCTAGCTCTAAAGAAGCCTAAAGCTAGATAAGTTTGCAAGCCAAGACCTTGAGCTCATTATTTATCAATAAAACAAACAAACAAATGAAGGAGACCAACTGAATCTATTCAAAAGAATGTTTTGAAGCCAAGCAACTTAATCCAAGTTTAAAGCCAAAAATAAAAACTATGGTGCTTAACCACAAAGTAAATCAAAGATGTTTTTCTTGGCCTTAACTATTATCCTATAAGAATTTTTTTAAAAAAAATCATAGCACTTTTGGTGATCTCTGTCTCTAAACCATAAGATGGAAATTACTATCATGGGTTCATATTCTTTTGCTTAGAGACTGTTTTCTAATTTAAACAAAGTCTACCCTTTTAGGCTGAGATCCCTTGGGGGTTTTGTGGAGAGCATATTCACAAAATGGCTGCCATGATAGAAGAGGCAAGGCACCTCTTCAGTAAAAATGGTGGCTGAAATCCAGTTCTTTGCTTTGCAGGATGTCAGTTCATGATTCAATTTTTTTAAATTAAAACAATCTTCATAAAGGAAAGAGTGTCTGAGATAGACCAGTGGAATCCAAAGCAGTTTCCCCTATCTTAATAACACAAGAAAGTAGAACATTGTAGTAGAACTACCCATCCTAACCAAATGCTCCATCACCAAAGTAAAAACTCGGTTTTCTGCAACAGAACCTGTGTAAGAACATGCACAAGTACATACTAAAGTAACTCTGAGAATCACGAAAAGGGGTTCATGGTTCAAGACAGAGGTTCCCAACCTCTTCCTTGAGGACGGTACCGGTCCGTGGCCTGTTAGGAACTGGTCCGTGCAAGAAGTGAGCGAACAAAGCTTCATCTGCGCATGTGCAGGATTGTGATGACCCGGGCTGGGAAGCGACACAGCTGAACTGAAGGCTTTTAATTCCCTTTTATTAGTTCAAACTTTCCCCAAAATCCCCATGGTGCACTGCAAATTCAAGAGCAAGGCACACACATGCTTCCAATAGTTCTTGGCTGCTATATATCCAGAGGAGCAGCAGTCCTGGGATCAGAACATGATCATGGGGCGTCCTCGTCGTTCGGAAAGTTCGTTGGGGCTGCAGCAAAAAAAGGCAAGGTAAAGCAAAGCAAGGCAAAACAAGATTGCAAGATGTCTGTAATCATAAGTGTGGCTGGAAGAATGCAATACCTGTTCCCGACAAATGCCCTTCCCCACAGTATCTTCTTAAATCCTATTCCCCAAGTGAGCTTGGTTAGGAGGGGTAGGTCGCCCTCTTCCCAAGTCACTGGGTCACCCTGCACTGATCCCGCCTCCTGTTCATTCTCCATGCTTGGGAATCAGGCATGATAGGCAATTGTTCTTCTGCTGTCTGTCCTTTTTGTCTCCTCCCCCACCCCCGCTCAGTCATCCTGTGCCCTCTCTTCTTCTTCTTCTTCTTCTTCAGTGACCACTCATTCTATGCCTGAGAGACTCGAGACTGCCTCATCCTGTCTCATCTGGAGCCAGAGAGGTTGTGACATTTCCTCTGTCGGCCCCATCTCTGTCTTCTCCTCCTCGGCCCCAGCCTCCATGGCCATGGAAGAGGTTGCATGTGAACCCCCCCTCCCCTCACAGTCTATGGAAGACATTTCCCTCCCCCCCCCAAAAGCCAGTGATCAAAACCAAAACACTTCCTCACCAGCTATACCTAAATGAGCTAACAATACCCCAACTCCATTATCACCAACTAGCAATTAGAAAACATGAAAACTCCTTAATTTCAAAACACATGGACTTAACCATAGTTCCAACTAGCAAACTGTCAGCATCCTAGACCCGTGATGGCGAACCTATGGCCTCTTTGTGGGCATGTGCACCAGCGCCAGCTGCTCTTCTGGTTTCTATCTGGTCTTTGCAGGTGCCGGGGCTTGAAAGCGGCCAGAAAAATGGCCAAAAAAACAGACATGCATATGCCAGTCAGCTGGTCTTTGGGTTTCCAGTGCTCTGGCATGCATGCATGCATGCGCACTCTGGTTTGGGCACTGATTGCCAAAAAGGTTCTACATCACTGTCCTAGACCAAGCCAAATTAAAAAATCCTAGAGAATTCCAGGAACTTAGATGGTCTGTTTCTCTTGGTTGCCATCTAGTGGTTGCTCTACCACAGAATACAGTGAAGCCGGTTGCTTCCACTTACCGAAAGCTCCTTCCGTCTCCCCTCATCATGCTACCTTAAGCAAATGCCCAGTTTTTCTATGGGCATGAGCCAGCCTTAGAGGGGCCCATAATGTGGTTTAGCTTTTTTAAGCACTGAAGGCCCATTTAAGGGCCCTGTCTCTGCAGCCCCATTGTGGCCATTATCTTGCCTCTTCCATATTTATGCTGCTAATCAGATAACAACCGTACTGTGCATATATGTTTTGTGCATTATTTTTATTAAAGAAGAGTGACATGATTTGTTGCCTTGTGACTAAAACTGAATTTTACTTCTTAGTAATCGTGCTTAGATTCGTAGACTACAAAACCTCCTAGAGCTGTTTAAAAAAAAAAAGCTATAGCTATTTATTTTCTTTAACATAGGCCTTTGCCAATTTTTAAAAACATTTCTAACTTTCAGGAACTTAAATGGTTGCTTTAAATCTTCCTCAGATTAGACATGCTATTTTGTCCGTTTGCTGAATTTAATTTCTCCCCATCCCCACCTGCCCCATCTCATTGCAAATGTCTCTGGGCGACTTCAGGCATTAGAACATTAAAAACCTAACAAATAAATATCTTTCAAAGAGTAAAAGTAGAAATCCTAACCAAGATATAGTTAAGAGAAGAGAAGAGAAAAGGAACAAGGAGGGGGGGGATTGCCTTTTAATTCCACAACCACCTCAATATGATGCTCCCTTGTTAGTCAGGGCCCCAGGCCATCTGGCCGGCATAAGATCCTGTGGAAGGGTGGGAGCCAATCTTTCTCAGGAGTAAAGATGTTCCATAAGGCAGGAGCCACAGTAGACAATCACTTTTTCCTGAACCTGCCAACCAGAATTCCTTGACTGACAAGACTGGCATCCTCCTTGGCAAGTGACAATGGGTTTTAAGCACTGTGGAAGTTTTTAATGGTATTATTACATTTTAAAACAGATTCGGGGAAAAGCTTCTGTTTCATTCTAAGTTATCAAAAATGTGAAGCTGTGAATAAACAACTTTGCACATTAACCTTCCATCTCCTCTTCTTCCCTTCCAGATTAGCTGGCCCATACACTAAGTTTTAACTCATGCTTTTCGTTATTCTTAAGACAATCAACATCAGTTCTTCAGAATGAAGCGATGACATGACTAGGGTTATTATATTTTTGCTTGTGCTCCAGCCATCTGTGCAAGATTCCTTGCTCAAACTGCTAGTCCCCCTAAATATCCCAACAATAATCAGTAAAATGTGAGACCAAATCAGATGAGACAATATGTGGTAAATTATTACAATTTCAGATGTACTCATTTTATCAGTACATATTGTAACTATGTTGACAGAAGCTCGTAGTTCATTAGAAAGTTGAGTGAGATATTCTCAC